TTCCTCCTTACCTCCACACTGGGGTCCCTTTGGCAAGATGCCGCATGGAGAGCCGGTCTGTCATCCTGAATCCGAAAGCTAGCGCAGCCTCTGCCCGGAGCCCAGCCTGCCTACGGCTGGAGCCCGATGGGCTCTCCTCGGTGTGGTGAACTGTGGCAGTTTGCCATGGATTCGGCACAGCTGGGCTGGGGGACAGAGCGCTGCCTGGGACAGACAGGACAGGGCTGGCTCCAGCTGCTGAAGGAAGCCAGCTCTATAATCAGTGCCCCGGTCACCCCCCCCCCCACTTGTCCCTGGCTCCATTCTCTTTTGCAGATAGCACAGGGGAGGCAGGAGGTTTTTGCCTTACCCCAGTGGCACTGGGCTGCAGCTGCCGGTCAGCCTTGCGAGGAAAGCTTCACTGGCACGGAGAGTCTACCACTGCTGCTGTTAGCCTGGGCGACGCAAAACCTCTGGGCTGGCGCTGCCGGTCAGCCTTGCGAGGAAAGCTTCACTGGCACGGCGCGTCTGCCACTGCTGCTGTTAGCCTGGGCGCTGCACAGCACACTGAGCCTCTGCACCAGAACAGGCACCCAGCGCTTAGGTCGGACATACCAAGGCAAAGGCCCCTTCAGGCAGCCAGGATTGCAGGCCCGGGCATCACGGGAAGATGCTGAACAGCCAGAAGAGAACCAGAGCCTCTTCCAGAAAGCACATGGTGACTGGCCCTGAGTCACGGTGCATTCCCATGCTGTTCTGCGGGAACAACCCGGCCTCCCAGGGCAGGCACCTGCAGACAATGGGGTTTAGCTGAAGGATGCCCCAGAAACGGGGTGCAGAGTAGCCCTGGAAGGGCTCTCGGGAAGATATGCCATTGATCTCTAGGACACCTCACCAGGCCCACCGCCTCTGTCCCGTTTGGGTCCTATGCTGCTACATATTGCTGACAGCCAGCCCCCCTGCTGTCCTCGCCCCGGCTCCTGCCAGACAGGGTGGGGATGCTGCTCCCTCTGTTCCCTCCTCCCCAGCCTGGAGGAGTGGAGGGGTTTGGGCCGTGCTGGGGCAGAGCAGAGGATGTTTGTTTGGTTTCCTTGGTTACTGCACTGCCTGCTCCAGTAATCACATTTTCCTTGTGCTGGCTCGGCCAAGAGCAGCAGAGAGGAAATCTGGAATGGCTGAGGTCAAATACCAGCCTGGGAACAGCCAGGGCCACCAGCCACAGTCCCTCTGTGCCATTTGGCTCCTTGCTGTTGTGGGTACCCAACCCAAAAGAGAGGTACCAGGCCCAGGGATGCAGCAACAAGCTCCTTCAGCAACAGCCCGAGGGCTCCCATCACTCCCTCCCGTGTGAGCCGAGGACACGGGCAGTGGCGTTGAACTGCGAGAGGAATTACAGGAATGAAAATGTTTGTGCAGGCAGAAGCCAAGCTGGCTGTGCAAGCGGGGGATGTGAACGGGGGAGCCTGCGAGCGTGGGTGCGGCCGTATTTATAGCGACGGTGGCGGCAGGGGTGTGCGTGTGCAGGGGTGACAGGGTTGCTGATGCCTTTTATTCCTTATGCATCCCTCAAGCCCAGAAAGCCTGGAGCACTAACGCCAGTTCCTGTCCCTGGGAGTTTCCCCTGCTTGTTAGCATTCACGGACAACCCTCTGTTTTGTAGCAAGGAAACTGAAACTGGAACACATGCAAACCATGGCTGATCTTGTAACAACACCCTTTCCCCCCTCGATAATTCGCTTCGGCAGTGGTGAACGCAGCATATGAGCTCCCCACTCCTGGCTGCCCTGCATCTCGGAAGCGAGATCTAAGGCTCCAGCACAGCAAGTGCTGGTGACGCTGCCATGCCAGCGTGTAACACCTATTCACGGTGACTCAATCAATGTGCGCTGGTAAAGCAGAACAGAAGGGAATCACCTACCCTCCAGCACGGCCGTCCTGTGTGAGCTGGGACAGGCAGAAGGGCTCTGACAGCCCTGCCTGGCCCGACCTTCGTCACCTCTCTCCCCAGCCGACATGGAGCAGGCACAGCGGAGCCTGGACGCAGAGCAGATGCAGCAGCAGCAGCTGAAACTACGGGACCGGCAGAGATTCTTTGAGGAGGTTTTCCAGCATGATGTGGATTTCTTCTTCCCTATGTCTCACCTGCAGATAGAGCATCGGAGACGTAAGTGCTGCAGGCACCAGCACGGGGCTGGCGGTGTTTCAGGGAACAATGACACAGGTGCTAAGAGATCAGTGGGACATCCCCAGCCAAAAGGCGGCCGGGGACACATGTCCTGCACTCAGACAGGACCACACACGCTGTGTGTGGGTGCGCTGTGGGTTACTCACACCACTTAACTGAAGTCACTGCACATGGGTACCCAGGCTGGTGCCCTGCGTAGTCACTGGCTTCAGACAGGCTCCTCCAGACAGCAGTTTGGGGCAGGGACAAGGACTGCAGTGAGACAGCAGGGGCTTCCAGAGGGATGTTTTAAGGAAACATGAACTTCCTGGGTGCCTCTTACCAGCAAGTAGAATTCAGTTCCTCATGGCAAGGCTGGCCTCCTTTCTTGGGGTCCTGCCTGCACAGGGCTCACTGTGCCCTTTGCCTGGCACTAGCACTCACCTTTTCACTGGCCTCTGGCTCTGCAGCCCCCTTAGGCAGCATTTCCTCCATGGAGGTGAACGTGGACATCCTGGAGCAGATGGACATGATGGACCTGTCAGACCAGGACACCGTGGACGTGTTTCTGGGCTGTGGGACAGAGGAGAGCAGCGTTGCTGGGTCCCTGCCAGGTACGTGCAGTCCTGAGCCTTTTGTGGACCAGGCTAGGAGCCCTTCCTGCCCCCATTGCCCACACTGCCTTGTTCCTCAGCCCTGGCCACCCTGCGTGCAGATCTCCACACACACATCCATACAAAAACAGACACTTGGTGCTGGGGTCTGTGAGGTTGAAGGACCTCACCCTGGGCTGGTCCATGTCAGTATCCACCTCTGCAGCCCAGAGGTACAGACCCCTGTAAATACATTACACTGCAGAAGACAGGAGAGGCCAGGCACTTTCCAGGGTCCGTGGGGCAAATTCTCTTGTCCTGAAGCTCCTCTGGAGCAGCCAGTGTCTTGTCACAATTTCCCAGGTCCCCACCGTGCTGCAGAGCTCACTGTGCCAAGCGGGAAGGCTGCAGGACCCCTCCACCTCCCAGTCAGACCCCACGTAGCTGGGCTTGGGTCCCACAGGGAAAGCCCGGGGTGCCAGCACCTTCCTCCCCATGCGCACACACCATAGTGATTCATTGAGGCCAAGCCAAACGTCTCCTTGCCTGCTGCAGCCAACAGCCTCACACAACACGGCTCCACACCGTGTTTCACATGCGACGGGAAAAGGCTCCACTGCCAAAAACGGGGAAGGAATGTGCGGCACTGCCCAGAGCCAAGCTGGGGGTGTGAGATGGGGAACAGCCACGGCAGCCACATGGGGAGCAGCCAGGAAAGCATAGCCTGCTGAGGAATAAGACACGTGTGTTGGAGGGGCTATCCATGAAGCTTGGGATCAAAAAAACCTCCAGAAGCCTTTTTCCTTCTCTTACTGCTCTCTCCTCCAGGGGCAGATGCCAGCCAGTGCCCAGAGGAAATCACTCTGCAAGTGCCCAACGCAGCCGAGAGCAAGTCACGCATTTCCTCCACGTCCTCTGTCTCCACGGATCTGAATAGCCTGGACACCAGCGAGGAGGGGGCCGAGACCCCCGTGGTGCAGTCGGATGAGGAGGACCTGCAGGAGGACAGTCCCAAAGAGCAGGAGGCAAGAAGCTAGCAGCCAGCTTTGCCCTCCTCCCAGCCTCCTTTGTACAGACCTGCCAGCCTGGAGGAAGGAAAGCTGCTGGCGCTCCGTAAACCCCACGCTGGACTGCTGTCCTGCAGGAGGGGAGAGATGGTTTTCCCCTCCTCTCCCTCCACAGGTTCTCCTGGCAGCCAAAGGAGAAGGAAAGGGGTATTGTAGGCTCCCAAATTAACTCTTCAGGCTTTGCTGCTAACACTTTCTGCTTCACTCCCCTGAAACGCTCAGCATCCCACAGCCCCACTGTTCCAAGATGGGATCCCAGCTCCCCTCGTCCTACTGACAAAGGTTCTGTCCCGACAAGCATTTAACAATGGCATACAGAGAAATAACAGTCTGATCTAAACAAGCAGTGGGTGTGTGTGTTATTGGGAGAAAACAGCCCTGGGAGGTGAGGGTTAGGTGGGGGCTGCAGGAGGGAGAGCAGTATAAAGCCAGTGCGCTAAAGGTGCCAGGCAGGAGCAAACAAAGCCTCCTGTTGCACAGCCCAGCTTCAGCACAGGGATGGTTCCTGTGCCCAGGGTGGGAGCAGACAGCACGGACCTCAGCAGAGAAGGGCAGCTGTTAGTGGAGTGGGTTACCAGACTGAGCAACTCGGGTGCTGCCTCCAGGACGGAGAGAGCCAGCGGCTGCCGTACAGACACAGCTGACCTAAGCAGGGCTGCTGGTGACCTGTAACTACCCACCATGAGTACACTGGTGGATCTCTCATGCAAACTGGCTGACTGGAGAACATCAGTACATCCAGCACCAGCAGCTGCTGCTCCCCCAGCATGGCGTGATGGCAGCAGCCCTGGCTGGAGGCTGCTTTAGAGCAGCGAAGGAAGAGCCATCAAAATGAGGCCACTTTGCAGCCTGTTACACTTGTTCCCTGCAGGACAGGTCAAGAGGAGTCAGGCACAAAGCCGGCCAGAGGCCCACTGCTGCTATCAGTGGCTGCAGGCCAGGAAAGTGCTGTCCCTGCTCGGGCTGCGTCAGCACAACTGTGGTCACCCCTACGAGGAAAGGAGCCTGGGAGATAAGCGACAGGAGCCAGGGAATGCTCCTCATCCCAGCTGCTTCCCAGGGGGTCTTCAGGCCTTACTGCACTCCCTCCTGTGTCAGTCAACCCTTCATGAGAGCGGCTGGAGCACTCCAGTTATCCAGGAGCGACGGGCCACAGCAGGATGTGTTGTGAGCTCCATCAGACCGCCACCCCCAGCACTGCCTTGCTCCAGCTGCAGTTTGCTTCCTCCCGGGGTGGCCCCAG